TGAAGCTAATTCTTGAATAGTCAACCAATCAAGAGATTATTTGAGCCTTGAGCACTTTACAATATTCTAAGTTTGTAAGAGAATAATAATCCCTTACTTCATGACAAGTACTCGCTAACGCTCGTACTTAATCATGAAGAAAGGGATTATCATTCTCTTACATATACTAAATGGCTATGTGTGAAAATACGGATGTATTTAAACCTGATACAATCAAATAACACGCTTGACCTAACATATAAAAAATGTTACACCCCCCCCCCCCTCTTGTTTATGTACTTCCACTGTTCAGTATACAGCATTATATAAAAAAAAATCTAATTAAATACTGTTCTTGAGCACCTTATAACAAATACACACATAGCCAACAAGTAGTGCATGTATATATATATATCAAAAACATAATTATCATGGTTTGCATCAAAAGAACTTCTAAGATAAAAAAAATATATAAACAAAAATGTACATGTACCCTGAGATAGATGATAATAAAAAAAAAACCTTATCATAACTTTTTAAAATATAAAAATAGCACCCCTGACTAGTTTTGAGTATTATGCGATTCTAAATAACAAAACTTAACACAACTTACAGAGATATCATATTTTTATCATGGAATATAAAAAAAAAACATCGGAATCCAAGATTTGATTCTTTAAAATGTTTAAACGTACACTCAAAATTGGGCCAGGTAACACCAAGTAAATAACAAGGGTCACAGGGCTCCATATAAACAAAATTACTTTAAACTAATTTTGCGAACAAAATTTAAGTCTATGTAAAATAAGCACCACTTATTAAAAATAAGAAGTATAACAAATACAAAAATTATATAGTGCTGACAATGATATATTTTAAGTCTACATAACAGTTTTAGATTTAAGACTTTCAAAACAATGGAGTTTACTGGTCTTAAAAAAAATCTAGTTAATCATTGTTTAATGGGCATTGAGACACCATGATTGAAGGATTTCAAGCGACATATTGTAATTTTAAAGGGCTTCGAGACACCATAAAAATGTATTAAGGGTTTCGAGCACCAAATAAAGCTAAACTTCTACTTTATAAACAAACACAGAAAAACTTCTGTATAAAACAACATAGTTTACACAATAAATAAACAACTGTTTATCAAGTCACTTGGTTTATTCACTATCTTCTTCCGTCGTTTCATTGTGGGTTTTTTTCTTTTCATTAGACCGTCCATGCCGGATGACCGACACCTGGCCTCTGATGTCGATCTCATCTGCGTAAATCTGTCTCTCGATAATCTCTACGGTCCCCTTCTCGGTTCCGGAAATTCTGGTGGACGATTTTTAAACATCGGGGATCTGTCTCTTCCATGCCATATATCACAGTTATAGAATCGCCCTTGGGATCCTTTACCGTTATTCCGTGGGTAATTGTAAGGAATCTTACTTCTCTCGACATTTTCTCTTTTTGTTCCTTCTGTTTCTGCAGTTACATCTGCGTCACTGTCCCCGTCTTCAACTTCATATATTGGCCGCTGAACTGGTTTGAAATGCTTGGCGAGGTCCTTTTCTCCTACTCTTATGCATTCTTCCTGCATAGAATTAATTACCGCCTCTTGCAGGGTATTAGGTCTGGTTCGCTCGACAGCAAGGCGAAAATCTTCTGACTGTCCGCACTTGTCAAGGAACGCTTTAATAGAGTTCTCCTCTACAATCTCAGGATTGCCCGGATACGCTCTACGGTACAAATCCTCTATGGCTTGACCAAAATCTCTCAAAGATTCTTCCGGTTTTCTCTTTCTCAGTTTTGCCTCTGTCACATACCTTTCTTTCATCGCCGTATGTCAAAATCTCTCTTCCATCTTTTGTTTAAGACGATTATTATCTCTCTGTATTATAACTGGCATCCCGTATGCATACGTCTCCGTTTGTCCCCTAAGAGTACTAAGAAGGACCCTTCGTGACTTTTCATTGTTCCATACATTTAACTCGGATATATTCTCAAAGTATTGAATGAACTCATTCCAAACATCATTCCTTGCTCCGGAAAAGGTCCTCCGAACAGGATATTCATTAGATGGAGGAACGTTCCTTCCACGGATACACCAAGTATTCGGGTATTCCGTAGTCGTTCCGTTTATGTCAGTACATTCATTTTCTATACTATCAGACTCTGGCAATTGGATATGTCCTAGTGATAAGCCCATGTTTTCCGATGTTTGCCCGGGTGACTCAAACTCCATTTGCCTTTGTCCGTTTATAACAGGGCAATTAGGGCAAGGGCTCGAGAACGAGGGCATTTCATCTGAGTCATAGGGCGTACCAGTATCAATGATAACATTATCCGGAGTACGGCTTAGCCCATTATACATATGATTAGGGCTTCGCCTGTTCCTGGACCATGTATATGCAGTGTTTTCTGACTTATAGCCGGTAATGACGGAATCCATACTAATTTCAAAACTATCGTTGAAATAATCAGGCATATTATCGCTAATAATCCAATCACTACATATTCCTGAGACTTCTGTACTGCCCTATTGTTAGGAAAATAAATCCATGCTGTTGCAACGAGGCCGCTACTGAAAGTAAGCAAACTAGTCCATATTTGCCAAAATTTCTTCCAACCATTTCCTCCGTCTTTTCCGTATTGCTCATCTCCTGGACAGCTCTATCCTGATAGTTCCTGGGTGAACAATGCCCGATTCTCCGGCGATACCGGTTATCTGGCATATTCTCCGTGTGAACATCATGGAGAGTACCAGTGACAGGCGAACTACTTAACCCAGAAGCTGCTGGGGAAAATATCTGACTTCTTAAGCAATTCTGCCTTACCTGAGAGAGCGTTGGAGCCTGAGTTGATGTCCTTATTGTTCTTCTTGGTGTTTCCATTGTATTATTAAACAAATACAGTTATCACTAACAAGTTCGTTGAAGTCACACACAGTAAATCCCACCGCTGCCACCAATAGGCTACTAGGGCAACCGGGCTCCGTGTAGTCCGTGCTCCGGAAGTCCGGGTGCTCCGGTGAACTGTATTAAATGGCTATGTGTGAAAATACAGATGTATGTAAACCTGATACAATCAGATAACAGGCTTGACCTAACATATAAAAAATGTTACATTTCATTTCATTAGTTATTCCATGAATGTATTCAGTTTTTAATGGTCATCTTACATTTATAAATGGAAATAGTTAAACGAGTGCCTTAATTTTCTTCGCAAGTTATGTGTTATAGTAATATAAAACTATTTTAATAAATTGAAAACTTTGATATGACGAAAGTGTACAAAAAGGTAGTTGTCGACTAAATCAAGAACAATAAACGTTTTTTTACAGCTGGAACCCGGAAGTAATTCATGGTAAAAATTGATAATAGAATGATATTTTTAAAACATCCGTAGAGAGTATATTTTGGATATTATGTGTCTATTAATTGGTAAAGTTAAGACTAAAAGAAATATTATATAACTCATTACTGCAAGTTTAATATACACTAATAATCGTGTAACAAGCAGAAGTATGACAACATAGCTTTATTATTTCTAATTAATTCTTTAGCATCCTATTTCTGGGAATTTATTGTAAAACTAACAAATAATTTATATACATTTTGATCTTAACCTATAACAAAATAATTGACTTTAATAAGTAAGTTGTCCATAAGATTTGCTGATGTTTTCAAGACAATTTGCAAAAGTGATGAGTGTGCAACGTCCTTAATGATGAATATTACGCCAATATGGTGAAGCTTTGTTTTATTTTGGTATACGAGCAACGATGCTTATAAATCTTTTCATTAGTTTTCTTTGTTGTACTTTGTTGACCGCTGCTTGTCTTTCCGTTGTTTTTCTGTTGGCTTGTGTTGTATGTTGTTCTTCGACTAATGTTATTCATTACCTCATTACATTCTCTTCACTAATGTTTTTCATTACCTCATTACATTCTCTTCACTAATGTTTTTCATTACCTCATTACATTCTCTTCACTAATGTTTTTCATTACCTCATTACATTCTCTTCACTAATGTTTTTCATTACCTCATTACATTCTCTTCACTAATGTTTTTCTCCGGAGCCAACAGTATAGAGTATGGCGTTGAATCATTCAAATGAAATCAGACAGTCAAAGCAATACGCTGTTCTTTATTGACTACTTCCCTGCAATACTTCCATTATAGTATGTTTCGGGAATATTTTTAAGATAGTTGAATGTCTATTGTATTATTTGATTCAATTCAACTATATTAGAAACTACTACTACATCATAACAAAAGGTAAAAACTTATCACCGGGTTTGTACTTACATGCGCAACACGACGGGTGCCACATGTGGAGCAGGATTTGCTTGTCCTTTCGAAGTACCTGAGATCACCCACATTTTTCGTGGGGTCCGTGTTGCTCAGTCTTTATTTTTTAATGTTGTGTTTTGTGTAGTGTTGATTGTCTGTTTTTCTTTTTCTTTTTAGCCATGACGTTGTCAGTTTATTTTCGACTTATGAGTTTGAATGTCCCTTTGTTATCTGTCGCCTCTCTTTTAAAACAGATACTAAATGCATTTAAAAATTGCAAGGTGCAACCAGACAATACGATGAAATTGTAAAACCCCCGGAATCGCACGAATCTCTTAGATATGTAAATTAAAATGACAAGACCTGGCGACAATAGAACAGTACTAATTAACATTGAAAAGTTGTTATAAGAAAAACTAACTTAAAGGTTATTGCGGTATACACTAGTTATAAAACGTCGTTAAACTTTATTGAACCTAACTGTGATATTTGTTTCTGTTTGGACAAATAACGACCAAATGACATTGGAATTGTGATAGAACATTGTATTGTATAACAATTTTTCCTCCATCAATTGTTTATCGGATGTCGTTTGCAGTTGTTATTGTGCAAGCATTATTATGTACTACAGTTCAATTATACAGAAGCTATGCTTTTGAGTTACTGTATGCCAAAATGGTTTAAAGACAGTAAGCAATTTTAAAACTATAACCGATATTGTTATTTATGTTACAGGGCCTTGCTTCTCAATGTACCTTTTATGTTCATCTTGATAACACTGTGTTCATTTACTGGTTTAGTTATGTTTGCCTTCTATGCTGACTGTGATCCACTCAAGACTCACGACGCCGATAATCCTAACCAGGTATGTCGTCATATAGCTACGTATAATCTCGTTGTTCCGTTTTCCTGTTAAAAATTGAAAACACGTTATAAATTGTGCGTCCCAAAGCGCTTTATTTGGTTTACTTTCAACAGGAACGTTCAAAGCCAAACATTTGATACCAAGGATGTATACGCACAGTAACGTCATGTTGACTGGTGCAATATCCAAATTGCACCGAGTACCCAAATTGCATCCTTTTAGAAAAATGTGCATTGGAAATCTTACAAGTTTTGCTAGAGACTAAACAATTTGTATTTTTATGATTTGACATTATGTACGTCTTTCAACATAGCTAACTGTATTTAAATCCACAAAAAGTCAACTTTTAGAAATGAGCAATTAAAAAATGTTACAGGCATCCATTTCTTAAGAAATTAACAGTAAACATGGACTATTTTCAAATTGCTCTAAATATTTGGAGAAATAAAACCAAACATAAGTTATTCAATTTTACGGATTTGAATTTAAGCATGGATGCAATTTGGGTACACCTCATTACAGAATCATGGATCGCTTTGAGGTCGGTTAAACCCATTTTTCTATAATTCAATATGGATTCAAAAATTAATTTATTTGAATTATTTAGTAAATAAGGATACATCTACAAAATAATCACAGAATGGAAACTTTTGTCTTGATAAAAAATAAACGTAGGTGAAAAAACTGTCAAAATAGGTGCAATTTTGGTACCCTCACGTTAACAGTTGAGAGCCTTGTGAAAATAGGACCTACAAATAATAGCCAAATTCATCTAAGGTCAACTTTGCCTGAGGGAGTTTAAACCTTAGTTTCTTAATAATTTACAAATTTATGAACGGATGACTTTAGAAAAGTTTGTTTTAAATAATGTTATTTATATATATATATATATATCCAAGTCTAAATTGAAAACAACGTTCAAACCTATGATTGCGTTGGATAAAAACCGCAATTTTTATACGTGTGCATGCAAAACAAATTTCTTGTTAGAGGGGTCTAAATACAGCACAAACAACATTTTCCAAAAGACCAAAAAAGTGAAAAAGTATATTTTTACAAAACGTATTTGACTAACAGGTCGAACAACAAATGTTCTTAAACCCTGCTGACTGCCATTGGCGATTGCCAAATAAACGGATCACCGATGTAATAAATGGATCTTATTTATAATTTTATACTAAACAGAAAACAATAAACTTGCGGAAAAGATGGTATACCGCAAAAAGAAGGTGCAAAAGTTTTTGTACACCATATCCGGATTTCGACAATTAATGTCTCTTCAGTGATGTTAGGAATCGAAACGGTATTTGGAAAGCCATACAATTTACCTCAATTTGGGATAGACTCTTGAATTTTGAGGAGTCAAAATAGGATGAACGGATCATATAAACCCGAAGGCAAATATAATACAAGTCCAAACGAAAAAATATAAACAAGTCTAAATTGAAAACAACGTTCAAACCTATGATTGCGTTGGATAAAAACCGCAATTTTTATACGTGTGCATGCAAAACAAATTTCTTGTTAGAGGGGTCTAATTACAGCACATACAACATTTTCCAAAAGACCTAAAAAGTGAAAAAGTATATTTTAACAAAACGCATTTGACTAACAGGTCGAACAACAAATGTTCTTAAACCCTGCTGACTGCCATTGGCGATTGCCAAATAAACGGATCACCGATGTAATAAATGGATCTTATTTATAATTTTTATACTAAACAGAAAACAATAAACTTGCGGAAAAGATGGTATACCGCAAAAAGAAGGTGCAAAAGTTTTTGTACACCATATCCGGATTTCGACAATTAATGTCTCTTCAGTGATGTTAGGAATCGAAACGGTATTTGGAAAGCCATACAATTTACCTCAATTTGGGATAGACTCTTGAATTTTGAGGAGTCAAAATAGGATGAACGGATCATATAAACCCGAAGGCAAATATAATACAAGTCCAAACGAAAAAATATAAACAAGTCTAAATTGAAAACAACGTTCAAACCTATGATTGCGTTGGATAAAAACCGCAATTTTTATACGTGTGCAAGCAAAACAAATTTCTTGTTAGAGGGGTCTAAATACAGCACAAACAACATTTTCCAAAAGACCAAAAAAGTGAAAAAGTATATTTTAACAAAACGTATTTGACTAACAGGTCGAACAACAAATGTTCTTAAACCCTGCTGACTGCCATTGGCAATTGCCAAATAAACGGATCACCGATGTAATAAATGGATCTTATTTATAATTTTTATACTAAACAGAAAACAATAAACTTGCGGAAAAGATGGTATATCGCAAAAAGAAGGTGCAAAAGTTTTTGTACACCATATCCGGATTTCGACAATTAATGTCTCTTCAGTGATGTTAGGAATCGAAACGGTATTTGGAAAGCCATACAATTTACCCCAATTTGGGATAGACTCCTGAATTTTGAGGAGTCAAAATAGGATGAACGGATCATAAAAAACCGAAGGCAAATATAATACAAGTCCAAACGAAAAAATATAAACAAGTCTAAATTGAAACAACGTTCAAACCTATGATTGCGTTGGATAAAAACCGCAATTTTTATACGTGTGCATGCAAAACAAATTTCTTGTTAGAGGGGTCTAAATACAGCACAAACAACATTTTCCAAAAGACCTTAAAAGTGAAAAAGTATATTTTAACAAAACGCATTTGACTAACAGGTCGAACAACAAATGTTCTTAAACCCTGCTGACTGCCATTGGCGATTGCCAAATAAACGGATCACCGATGTAATAAATGGATCTTATTTATAATTTTTATACTAAACAGAAAACAATAAACTTGCGGAAAAGATGGTATACCGCAAAAAGAAGGTGCAAAAGTTTTTGTACACCATATCCGGATTTCGACAATTAATGTCTCTTCAGTGATGTTAGGAATCGAAACGGTATTTGGAAAGCCATACAATTTACCTCAATTTGGGATAGACTCTTGAATTTTGAGGAGTCAAAATAGGATGAACGGATCATATAAACCCGAAGGCAAATATAATACAAGTCCAAACGAAAAAATATAAACAAGTCTAAATTGAAAACAACGTTCAAACCTATGATTGCGTTGGATAAAAACCGCAATTTTTATACGTATGCATGCAAAACAAATTTCTTGTTAGAGGGGTCTAAATACAGCACAAACAACATTTTCCAAAAGACCTTAAAAGTGAAAAAGTATATTTTAACAAAACGCATTTGACTAACAGGTCGAACAACAAATGTTCTTAAACCCTGCTGACTGCCATTGGCGATTGCCAAATAAACGGATCACCGATGTAATAAATGGATCTTATTTATAATTTTTATACTAAACAGAAAACAAAAAACTTGCGGAAAAGATGGTATACCGCAAAAAGAAGGTGCAAAAGTTTTTGTACACCATATCCGGATTTCGACAATTAATGTCTCTTCAGTGATGTTAGGAATCGAAACGGTATTTGGAAAGCCATACAATTTACCTCAATTTGGGATAGACTCTTGAATTTTGAGGAGTCAAAATAGGATGAACGGATCATATAAACCCGAAGGCAAATATAATACAAGTCCAAACGAAAAAATATAAACAAGTCTAAATTGAAAACAACGTTCAAACCTATGATTGCGTTGGATAAAAACCGCAATTTTTATACGTGTGCAAGCAAAACAAATTTCTTGTTAGAGGGGTCTAAATACAGCACAAACAACATTTTCCAAAAGACCAAAAAAGTGAAAAAGTATATTTTAACAAAACGTATTTGACTAACAGGTCGAACAACAAATGTTCTTAAACCCTGCTGACTGCCATTGGCAATTGCCAAATAAACGGATCACCGATGTAATAAATGGATCTTATTTATAATTTTTATACTAAACAGAAAACAATAAACTTGCGGAAAAGATGGTATACCGCAAAAAGAAGGTGCAAAAGTTTTTGTACACCATATCCGGATTTCGACAATTAATGTCTCTTCAGTGATGTTAGGAATCGAAACGGTATTTGGAAAGCCATACAATTTACCCCAATTTGGGATAGACTCCTGAATTTTGAGGAGTCAAAATAGGATGAACGGATCATAAAAAACCGAAGGCAAATATAATACAAGTCCAAACGAAAAAATATAAACAAGTCTAAATTGAAACAACGTTCAAACCTATGATTGCGTTGGATAAAAACCGCAATTTTTATACGTGTGCATGCAAAACAAATTTCTTGTTAGAGGGGTCTAAATACAGCACAAACAACATTTTCCAAAAGACCTTAAAAGTGAAAAAGTATATTTTAACAAAACGCATTTGACTAACAGGTCGAACAACAAATGTTCTTAAACCCTGCTGACTGCCATTGGCGATTGCCAAATAAACGGATCACCGATGTAATAAATGGATCTTATTTATAATTTTTATACTAAACAGAAAACAATAAACTTGCGGAAAAGATGGTATACCGCAAAAAGAAGGTGCAAAAGTTTTTGTACACCATATCCGGATTTCGACAATTAATGTCTCTTCAGTGATGTTAGGAATCGAAACGGTATTTGGAAAGCCATACAATTTACCTCAATTTGGGATAGACTCTTGAATTTTGAGGAGTCAAAATAGGATGAACGGATCATATAAACCCGAAGGCAAATATAATACAAGTCCAAACGAAAAAATATAAACAAGTCTAAATTGAAAACAACGTTCAAACCTATGATTGCGTTGGATAAAAACCGCAATTTTTATACGTATGCATGCAAAACAAATTTCTTGTTAGAGGGGTCTAAATACAGCACAAACAACATTTTCCAAAAGACCAAAAAAGTGAAAAAGTATATTTTAACAAAACGCATTTGACTAACAGGTCGAACAACAAATGTTCTTAAACCCTGCTGACTGCCATTGGCGATTGCCAAATAACGGATCACCGATGTAATAAATGGATCTTATTTATAATTTTTATACTAAACAGAAAACAATAAACTTGCGGAAAAGATGGTATATCGCAAAAAGAAGG